ACAGTGTGTAACAGAGCCAGTACTTGCCAACAGTGTGTAACAGAGGTGTGACCGACTGCTCAAGAAGTTAACCAACCAATCAGTGACAGAGACTAAAGTAAAGTTATACAACTCAGACATCTCTACGAAGCTGTCATAACCTAACCTAACCTAAAGGTATCTTAACCTAAGCTAAACTAATGTACCTTTAACGTAACCTAACCCCCAGAATAGCATTAGGTACTGTACTGTACTGTACTATACTGTACTGTACTGTACTGTACTGTACTGTGCTATACTGTACTGTACTGTACTGTACTGTACTGTGCTATACTGTACTGTACTGTACTGTACTGTACTGTGCTATACTGTACTGTACTGTACTGTACTGTACTGTACCCAGTTAGTGAGTGAGGCTTCAGGGTGTTGCCTCAGTAAAGGCTACTTTGTTTACTGCTGCCAGTGTACCACCAGGACAATGGTACACCTGTAGTGTACCACCAGGACAATGGTACACCTGTAGTGTACCACCAGGACAATGGTACACCTGTAGTGTACCACCAGGACAATGGTACACCTGTAGTGTACCACCAGGACAATGGTACACCTGTAGTGTACCACCAGGACAATGGTACACCTGTAGTGTACCACCAGGACAATGGTACACCTGTAGTGTACCACCAGGACAATGGTACACACTTGTGATGGAAATTACCACTAACATTTTTTTATCACCTTAAGTTTTAAGTAAATTAGTCATTAAGTTTATTAAGCTGTGGCCTTATAGTTATGTTCAATATACTATACTGTATGGTGAATAACAGATGCCCTCCATAGTGCCATAATGTAATTGTGTAAAAATCAAAACATAATGTACAGTCCCAGACGAACATTCTTGATAGAGCCAAGGTGGATGGTGTGAAGTCAACTCCACCCTTACTGGACAGCGGGTCATTATCAGTGTTGCCACTCCTGAAAAAACAAAGTTTAACGAATTCGTGTCTGAATCTTTCCAGATCGCTAAACAGAATTTGAAGTATTAAAAAATTATGTAAATTCAAATTATTTTAATTTTAATCAATACAGTGCTACAGAATATACAGTCTCTCCTCGACTTATGACGGGGTTCAGTCCCGACGACCAGGTCGTAAGTCAAAAAGGCGAAAATAATACAGTATGACCTACCAGTAACCCGTTTTGTCAAATAATGTAAAACTTGATTGGGTAAATTGTTTTGTGAATTTTTAACAAAACAATGACATCCTTCCCTAGTCCTCATTGAGAAATGATTGTTGAACTACTTGTATGTGTGTTGAGGGGGTAATGAACGGACAATGACGCCCTGTCGAGTAAGGGCGGGGGCGGACTTTACACCCTCCGCCTTGACTGTATCAACAACTTTCGTCTGGGACTGTATATATATATTTCTTGTGAATGTACAAATAAAATTGCCATCTTATTACAATTGTTTTTGTTCTTGTCCTTTCTAAAATTTCTTCTTCTTTTATTTAATTGGAATTTTTTTTTTTTAAGTAAATGTTTATAACTACAGTAGGTCAGGGAGTGTGGATATAATCATAAATATTACTTGGGGCAAATAACGGAAAAGTACCGTTGTTTTTATACCCCTGGAGAAAGTGTCCCTCATATGCGTAGAGTAAAGTCTGATACTTCGTAAGGGCATGAGCCTCTGTTATTTTGAATTATGGGAGTTTTACTGAATAGTAGTTCCCTGCCAACATATACCATACTTTACAGCATATAAGACTGGAAGGGAACGGAATTCGGGGAAATGTCCTAGCGTGGATAGAAGACTTTCTACATGACCGCAAGCAGTGTGTGGTGATTAATGGCACAAAATCATCATCTTTACCTGTCACAAGTGGGGTACCACAGGGCAGTGTATTGGGCCCGCTGTTGTTTGTTTGTTTCATAAATGACATGCCTGACGTTGTACACTCCTCCATACAAATGTTTGCCGATGACGCTAAGTTATTCCGGGAAATTAAGAACCAAGCGGACTGTGAAGCACTGCAGAAGGACCTCTGTGGGCTCCAGGAATGGTCGAAGGAATGGCTGCTGAGATTCAATGTCACGAAGTGTAAGAGGATGCACCTGGGGCGTACCAATGGTAAGGAGGCGTATCATATGTCCCAACAGGATGAAGAAACTGCACTAGTTGAGACTGAATGTGAGAAGGACCTCGGTGTGTATGTTAACAATCAGCCGGCCTACAGCCTCCTACCCCATCTCGGCCAATGACAGTGAGCATCTGGTATCTACGTCACGGCCCCTCCAGCCAAAGAGGGTGAATCCCTCTCCCTCAGTTCTTTGTTGTGGGGGATCTACACTCTGATACTGATTAAAGTAAAAAAACCATAAGTGGGTGGGAGCTTTGTTGCTTCAAGTCAACAACCCAGTACATCACTTCATGATGCGCTACCTACCATCTGCAAGTACAGTGGTACCCCACTTAACGCGGTCAATTGAACCCAGAGGGTCCCGCGTTAAGTGAAAACCGCGTTAAGTGAATAACAGAACATATGGGATTAATTCCAATAGAACCCAGCCCGACCCCCAAACTCCACTTTTTGACGACAAATAACTATGTTGTAGTAAAAATTCTATCTTAACTTTATGGTGGCATGAAAAACAAGTAATATAGAAGAGGTTAGGTTAGGAAAGATAAAGGTTAACATAGGAAAAATAAAGAATAGGTTAAAAAACGAAAAGTTTTAAGGAACACTCACGGTAGTAGAAGAGATGGGTCGGCATACGGGGATGGAGGCTGGTTCCGAGGCAGAGGGCAGATTACTGCCCCTCAGGTGAATCACCATTACTAGGTGAATCACCATTACTAGGTGAATCAATATCACTGTCACTTACAGTTGTCATGGCTTCCCTGACAAATCCCTCAAAATCAACTTCACTATCACTATCACTGGCTTGGGCTGGCTGTGGTGGGTTGCGGGCGAAGAACTCGGTTATGCTTTTCTGACGGCTGGCTTTGATGTTGTCATGATACACCGTGATGTACGGCTCCATAGCCTGCACCAGCCGGGTATGGAAGACTTCATAGCGGTCATCGTCATTGTCGCGGGAAAGGAAGGACTTCATTTTCTCTGCACACTCCATGGCACCCTTAATATCACTATGAGTTAAACTGTGTTCTTCGGAGAATGACGCACCTTCTTCCTCCTCTTCACTGGCGGGTTCTTCTTCCAACATCTCGTCGGCAGTCACTTCAGGATCTCTGATCACCTCCATGATGTCTTCGTTGGTGGTCTCGGAGAAGCCTTCAGCTGTAACAGTCTGCGCAGCTTCTCTGGCAAGGCCCACTGCTACTGCAACAGTCTGAACCTGACCAGTAACAGATTGACTCCTCCTCTCACCTGGTATGCCATGCAACACATGTCTCCATGCGTGACGAATCGTAGCAGTAGACAGCTGATCCCATGCCTCCACCAAGAAGTCTACAGCTTGTTTGACGTTAAACTTCTTCCAAAATTGTTTGACGAGAAGTTCTTGAGTCGCCGCCTCTTGTTCCTTGTCCTCGTCGCTTTTGCTCTCGCTGTCGGTGTCACCCAGCTTACGCAACTCATCCTTGGTGTTGGTACAGTCGTTCAGGAGCTTGAATTTCTTTGCCGAGTATGCAGCTTTAACGTTGCAGATTAACTCCTGGTCCATGGGCTGGATTAATGACGTGGTGTTGGGAGGAAGGAAGACCACTTTTACGTTGGGGTGACGATCCATAAGTAGGGGCGAGTGTCCTGGTGCGTTGTCAAGGAGCAACAAAATGTTGAATGGAACATTCTGTTGCTCGCAGAATTTCTGCACGTCAGGAACAAAACAGTTGTCAAACCAGAAGAGGGACAGAGAGGAGGACATCCACGCCTTACGTGCGGTTAGCCAGTGGACATTAAGCTTGTTCATGTCCATATTCTTGTAGGCGTGCGGCTTGCGGGCTTTGTGAATCACCGATAACTTTGGTTTACAGGTACCGGAGGCATTGGTGGTAAAGAGGACGGTGATGCGCTCCTTCTGCAACTTCCGGCCCCAAATCTTGCTCGCAGACTGGACAACGAAGGTCTTGGAAGGTAACTTTTTCCAGAAAAGACCAGATTCGTCCATGTTAAACACCTGGTCGTCAGTGTACTGTCCTTCCTCCATAATCTCACGTAAAAACGGAGGAAAAACTCTAGCCGCCGCACGGTCAGCACTCGCTTCCTCACCAACAATGCTGATGTTGGTGACCTTGTTCCTCCTCTTAAACCTATGCAGCCAACCATGGGAAGCATTGAAGGGTTTGGGCTCTGCAATTCCCAGTTTACGTGTCACTGCTGCGTATAGCTCACGTGCGTACACCTGCACTGAGCGCGTGTCCACCGCCATGTTGCGTCGCGCCTGACGCACCAAATAACTCACCAGCAAATTTTCCACTTTTGCCAGCACCCTGTTCTGGCAATACCTGATAGATGAAGCACCTGCAGACTTTGTGAGCTTCATGTGCTCCTTTATCTTGGCTGCATCCTTCTTTATTGTACGAATCGTAGATTCGTTGACGCCATGCTGGCGCGCGAGATCAACTTGGCGTCTTCCTTTCTCCAAATCTTGAACAATTTGGTACTTCAGCTCGTAGCTTAATGAACGTCGTGTCTTCTTTGGTTTAGTGCCGCTGGGTCCAGGTAAGGAAAGGTTTCTCTCTGGGGGTGGTGGTCCGGCGGAAGCCATTTTACGGAACAATGGATGCGCGTTAACCCGGCGTGGCCTTGAGGGATGAAACTGCCGCGGCTAGGTCAAGCGTCGTCTCTCCTCCCTCCCTCCCTCCCCGGGGTAGTCACGTCATAATACTTTAAGCCAATTACAGCTAGCAGCAGAGGGGGGTAGGGCTGCATGGCCAATCACAGTCCGAGACGTCATATGACGTCAGTGATAACGCAACAAAGGCACACACTGCGCAACCTTACCGCGCCGCTTGCCCAAGCGGAGGGAGGAGGAGGGAGAGGCAGGCAGGCAGGCAGGAGGGCGGGCGGGCGGGTGGCGCGTGGTCAAAATCTAAAAATAGCATCCGAGCCGGACACTCACCGCGTATATGTGGAAAAAATCCGCGCTAAGTGAAAGTTCAGCTTTGGCAAGGCACCGCGTATATGCGAAAACGCGTTAAGTGAAAGCGCGTTAAGCGGGGTACCACTGTACAGTCATTTAGCTTCAAAATGTATAAAAATGATTGTTGTATCTCATAAAACAACAAAGTTATGAATGTTTTAAGTAGTAAAAACTTTAAATGCCGTTTTCTCGGTTTCAAATTTTGGTGGGAATAATCCATACGATGCGGGGCGCCTTCTGTTCTGTACCAGTAAATGTGAGGAATAAATAAAAATACCAATAAATAAATTACGACAATAATAATGTATTGCCAAACGAGTAAATAAAAGTTTAACACAGTCGTCATTTGCATATACAGTACAGCTGTACTCCCCCTTCGCCATAGCAACGGCGACGCTACCTCCACCTATTCCCTAGTAACATTCACCCCCCTCCCCCGCCCACCAACTGTCCTCCCACAGCGCCAGCTAACTCGTGTGCAAAGAAACGTACGTCTACCCAAAAATACGAGTTGAAAACAACAGCTTGGCCCAGTAGCCTGATGGTTACAGAGACGAGTCTTACCTGGCTACAACGCTGCCATTGATGTTAACAGATGTAAATATGAAAAGAAAGTTATCTGTAAATCTTCATTTGTTTCAGGTAATTGTAGGTTTAAAATAAATGTTGCAGGTATGGCATTAATAGATTGTAATGCTTGTAAGAGTTCAGAAATGGTTACTGTTTAGTTACCTCAGAAGAGTTGGGTGTCTGCAGTAGGGACGTTAATTGTTTCGGGTTATCATCATCAGTACAGTAGTTATAAATAAGTTTTTATATTTATAATAATTATTTCTTTAATTAATTAAAAATAATAATGTGTTTAAATAAGCAATAATATATATTTTAATTCTGGAGTTGGTGTTAGGTAGAATTTATCCTACTGGAGACAGCAACTGTGGGATTCATTAGCTTGAGGGAGACTGCAACTTCTCATATAGGATGCAGACTGATTTTTTTTTGCCATTTTTCAGACCAAAAAGTGGGCCTTATATGCCGTAAAATACAGTACTCATAACTATATAATTATAACAGTTCTCTGCCAAGATATATTACAAAGGATGTAAGAGAGGAAAAGAGTTTATCATCTCATATAATATAATGGTTGACAATATATACAGTACCACACACACAATACTATAGTGTTATCTGCCACCCATCAACTTATATACCCACAGGACAAGTTAACTGTTTTAAGACAACTCTCACAACAATTACTAATACATTAATCATAATAGACGACTCAACAAATATCTTTCACTCTGGAATAATAATTTATGCACTGTGTATAAAGATGAAATCATATATAGTACATGATTCTTCCTTAATCCTGTCCTAACCTAACCTCAGAGTTCAAGAAATGCTACAGTCAGGTGGTACAGTATAGGTCAGGTTAGGCTGGAGGTAACAACAATCTTTACACTTGATGATGATAATGTTATATAAAATACAGTGCTACAGTAATGTTAATGTGTAGTCATAAACTGCTTGTCTCACTCTTAGTTCTGGTAGTGTAATGTAGTGTTGTCACTGAAATGTGTTTAAATACTAAGTACAATACAGTACAGTATTTCCAAATTATAATTAAATAGATTTAAAATACATTTATAAAATTATATATGAATTTAGTTCCAAACCTTTTAAAACAAATGTATTCCCTCAGGCTGTCAGTTGCTGCTTTTCCAGTTTAAATAAAATAAAATTATTAACTTATCCATACGCTGACCATTGGTCATAGCGACTAACTGCACCTCAGGCAGGAACCTGTAGGGGTGTTGCCGACTTTTCCATGTTTACTTTGCCACACAGTGTAAAGTATTGGCACCAAACTCTCAGTCGAACAAAGGAAAATGGTCATACATCGGGTGCTGACAAAGGCAATGTGGTGTTATATTTAAAAAAAAAAAATTTAGAATTAGGGGAGATTTGTGTTAATTTATTGTCTGGATCATTTAGATATATTAGTACTGTAATGTAATGTACTGTACCTATATTAGTACTGTACTGTAATGTAATGTACTGGACCATCATTTCTGGGGTTTGTGCTGTGATGAAATATCAAAGGTAAAACACTCATCATTGTCTGAGGACCGAGGCTACAGACCACTGCTGTACCTGTGGTGGGGCTGACTAAGAATTTCCTTAGATTTATTGTAAAAGTTTTGGAAGATTTTTATAATGTATCAGCTCAATGTTTACTGTAAATAAAGTATTTACAAATGTATCTGATATTGAAGTATTTCTATATACTAAATATTTCAATTTTTTTATCATATATGTATTTAGATACTCGCTCCAAAATGTATTTATAAATATACTGTACTGTATCGTGTTTCAATACATATTTAAGTAATGTCAAATAATAATTCAACAGTTCAAACAACAGAGCCGGAAGAATATTCTAAACCAACAATACAAAATTCAAGTGATAAGACTGATCCACAAACAACATTTATACAATACTGTGCATAATACAGTGTAGAGCCTCACACACCTTGATACTGTGCTGGTCCCTTCCTAGGTGTAGTCATGGTAGATGTTCCTTCTAGGTGGGTCATGGTGCTGTTCCCTTCCTAGGTGTAGTCATGGTAGATGTTCCCTTCCTAGGTGTAGTCATGGTAGATGTTCCCTTCCTAGGTGTAGTCATAGATGTAGAGTCATGGTTCCCTTCCTAGGTGTAGTCAGGTGTAGTCAGATGTTCCCTTCCTAGGTGTAGTCATGGTAGATGTTCCTCTCTAGGTGTAGTCATGGTAGATGTTCCCTTCCTAGGTGTAGTCATGGTAGATGTTCCCTTCCTAGGTGTAGTCATGGTAGATGTTCCCTTCCTAGGTGTAGTCATGGTAGATGTTCCCTTCCTAGGTGTAGTCATGGTAGACGTATTTCTACCAATTACGGTAAAGCACTATATCATTTATGTCTCCATGTGAGGGCCACCATCACCCTTCACTATACATGTGTGTGTGATGTCTTCATTTACACCAGATATTATATACTGTACAGTGACACCATACTGCTCAGCACAAACACCACCTCATGTACACTGCTCAGCACAAACACCACCTCATGTACACTGCTCAGCACAAACACCACCTCATGAACACTGCTTAGCACAAACACCATGTACACTGCTCAGCACAAACACCACCTGTACACTGCTTAGCACACACACACCACCTCATGTACACTGCTTAGCACAAACACCACCTCATGTACACTGCACACCACCTCATGTACACTGCTTAGCACAAACACCACCTCATGTACACTGCTTAGCACAAACACCACCTCATGTACACTGCTTAGCACAAACACCACCTCATGTACACTGCTTAGCACAAACACCACCTCATGTACACTGCTTAGCACAAACACCACCTCATGTACACTGCTTAGCACAAACACCACCTCATGTACACTGCTTAGCACAAACACCACCTCATGTACACTGCTCAGCACAAACACCACCTCATGTACACAGCTCAGCACAAACACCACCTCATATACACTTGATATAGATTCATTACACCTGGTAAGTCGTCTTCTGATTCAGGTAAAACTGCCAGGCAGACACCCCGAGAGTGGCAATATAGAGACACGCGGCAATGAAGCAGTTGAAAGCATTCGTCTTAAAACCTCGGCGGACTAAATCCATGTAATTCTTGGTGTTCTCAAAAGTTCCGTCAATTGGCAGGTCCTCGAGGAAAGACGCGTTTTCGGTGTAGAAAAACACACCCATGATCAGCAGCTGGAAGAGTCCCCACACACTAATGATGAGCACACACAGGGACAACTTGTACCCACAGAACGCCATCACGGACCTTCAACGCTCTTCTTGTTTTCCCTTGTACGAGAACCAACAGTCTGTAAACAACGTACCATGTTAAAAATACTGAAGTGTTAAAAATACTGAAGTGTTAAAAATACTGAAGTGTTAAAATACTGAAGTGGTAAAAATACTGAAGTGTATAAATACTGAAGTGGTAAAAATACTGAAGTGTTAAAAATACTGAAGTGTTAAAAATATTGTTCAAGAACACCATCATGTTAAAAATAAAAAGTTTACATGAGCACCAGCCAATGAGCAGATGTTATAAAGTTTGCCAGAACAAACAAACTTCACCTAACCTATCACTCTACAGTATTTTAATTCAGCTTCACCTAATCTAACCTATACTCCCCCCCCCTATATAGCTATGTAAAACTAAAAGCATTACATCCCTTAGACATACATTAGTACATAAGAAAAATACAGAGGTAAACCACAGGCCCATATTACAAAGGGGAGACACCAGGCAGTCACACACCAAGAGGTCTCATGAAGTGAGGTGACGTCAGGTGACCACGACAGCAGACTTTTCACCTTTTATTTTCTTGTGTCCATTAGCACCTTGACCACCCACCTTACCCTCTTGTCCCCCTTCTTTCCATTAGACATCAGTTACTCTCACACTGTAGACACTGTATGTGTGAGACTGAGTGTATTTAAAATTCTACTTCAATAACTAACTACCACAGCCACACCTTGGGACAGTTCACGGCGAGTCTTAGTCAGACTCGGTCATTACGGAGGCAACAGTCATCCACAAACTCCTCAACTGAAGGAGCCTGATAGCGACTTGTCATGCCCAGGGGATGGAATGGAGCTACTGAGGTCTTTCCTGATATTATGTGACTTATCTCTGAAGCTTAACACCCCACTACCAGCAGCTGCTGCTTGTGTCTGTTTAGTCATGCTGGGCTTATTATTTAATTAATTTATTACACCCCAGGGGCGACAAGCCTAGTCCCAAGACCATGCAGTCACACACTAATACTTGGTACTCTGTCTCGCAGGACACGCTATGACTTGTCATATGGAGACAATATTGATATGATTTAAGGACAATGGGAGTTAGCACCACCAAAGTGTGGGTAGTGGTGACATATACTGGTTAGTGACACTCCCTGTGGCAGGAGGTCCCTGACAGGTAAGGCAATAGTGTTGAAGTGTATTAGTGTTGGGACAGTTACAGGAAGAGAAGTGCAGGTCATCCCCCACCTCAGATACTTGCCAGATAGGTCTGTATCCTAACCTAATGCCAGCAGAGACAACATTATGTCTGTGGACCATAAATCCATGTCGACTAGTGATCAGAGTGTTGGATGGATATATTGTCAGCCCTTTCACTATCCCTGCGATGGATTGCAGGGGGAAAAGCGGCTGAATGTGTTCTCTTTCAGTAGGTCGTGCTGGGCTTATATTTAGGCCCTAAAACATCTTGATAGGACAGCCATAATTTTGAGAACCAGTTATTGATTAATCTCAACAAAAAGATTAACAAATAAACATGTGTAATGCTGTGTGACTTTTATTTTAGTCTTTAGTTAAATAGTTTTTATAATTTACTGTGAATTTATTTTAATATTTGAGACCAATAATAATTTTGTTGTTACTTTTTACTTTCAGTACTTGAATACTATATGAATGAGATACTCTTTTACTTCTACTTGAGTACAGTACATTGATATTTGGATACTTTTACTGCTACTTGAGTAACATTTTGCCAATGTAACAATACTTGTACTTTAGTAACAGTCCAGTACTTTTTACAACTCTGGGTATACAGTTGTGCACTAAGATAGTATAAGTTGCTATTCGCGGGTTTGCCTATTTATGCAATTCCCTGGACCCCATCTCTCGCGGGTAACAAGGGTTTACTGTATTCTATCTCTATACTGTATATCAAAGTTTGGAGGCTAAAAAATTCTTATTTTCATCGGGACTGCCATAGGGCGGGTACCCCCTCCCGATGAATTGTTTCAATGATCCTGATAGGAAACGCAATCCACCGGGACCACCTTTGGGTCTGTAGGAGTCTCTGAATAACCACAGTGATCCCAATTGGTTGGGTGGTGTAATGACTGAATACGGCCCCACAATCTAGAGCAGATTTTATCAGTGAAACTGATTGGCTGCAAGTACTGTATTATTAACAATCAAGTATTGATCTAAATGATATCTGAAGCTGAGGAAGTAAAATTAGCATGTGAAACACATTGATAATGTTGATATCTTAAAATGGAAACTTTATTAGCAATAATATGCACTTCCTGTTACCTTATTCCACCATCCCAGTGATTATTCATCCACCATGATTCAACCAATCACGAGCTTCCTTTGATTTGGCTCAGCTGCAAGTTTGGGGTGAACAGAGTAGAGTACGTACTGTGTGTGGCGACAATATTGTACTCCACACACCTCACTAGTACAGCACTTATCCATCTGTGTTTCCCTCAATGATAAACATTATTATTCCCGATTTATGAAAGAGTTTCAATAACTGAAGCACACTTTCACACAGACTCCCTAAAATGTCTTAAAATGACAAAAAACAAACTTAAATGAAAACTGTTGGTGTAGGCCATAATTATAAGCCAATAGTAAACACAGCATACAAGTTAAATGCTCTACAGGTTGACCGCCAGTTTTCCGGCACCATCGGAAACAGAATCATGCTGAACCATCGGATGTCTATACAGTGGGGTATGCTATAACGAATCTAATTGGTTCTAGAACCTTGTTCGTTATAGCATTCGTTTGTTATAGGATTAATCCATTCCAGGCCCCCAAATACAACCACTTAACAATAATGCATATATTTACTGATCATAATACAGTGGGGTCGAGATATATCGCGATTTTTTTAAATTATTTTTTTATATCGCGACTACCACAATTATCGACATTTTCCAATAAATAGCGATAAATCTATTTATTTCACGAGGGAAATCGGGCAGAAAATATTTAAAATATACCGCCATGACAAACAAATGCGTTATTTGCTCACCAGAGGCGCCACCGAGGCTGCTCACTCACGCATTCACGCTCGCCCCGTCAGTCTTTCTGGGTGAGTGACGAGTCAGCGGCCGACTGCTGCAGATTACAACTTCTAAGGTGAGTGTAAATGGGTTGCTGGTGACGTGGAAAGTGAAGTGAAGAAAATGGAAAGCTTTAATGGAGAAGATTTAATACTGTAACTAATATTTTTGGTGTTGGTTTATGTAGGTGTGGGATTGTCAAGTGAGGGTGGCAGTGTGGCGTCTGCTGCTGAGTGTTGTTCCTGAGTCTAGTGTTCCTTGGTGCTTTAGTTAGTAAGAAAATAAACTCATTAAGTCAAGTTTAGTCACTTTTATTGGCCTCCAGAACCTAACCCTATTTTCCCCATTGATTACATGTAATTATATATCACGATTTAGTATATAGTGAACATCCTTGGGCCCTATCTGGCGATATATCCCGACACTTACTATAGGCACGCTGTAACCTTATAACTCGAGCTGGGCATTCAAACAATGGGGCGAAAAGGCTCGCATTTCGGAACATCAACCGGAGCGCCTAGATGAACGATCCAAAATGTCAACCAGGGCATAGGGGTTAATAAAGCACGGAGTTGACTTGAGGGTACAGTGATTTCTGCTATAACGCGTGTTTTGATAACGCGAATTTGCTCTAACGCGATTTATGAATTAGGAACGATATTTGTATAACGCGAACGCTTGTTTGCTATAACGCGATTTTTGCTTACTATTTCTCCAATTTTGTGAATATAGCAAAGAAGAATATCAACAAGAAGCGTTCCGGTGATAAAATTCCTGGTGATGATCGTAAAAGAAAGGATATAACACTAGATGAGAAGCTCGATTTTATCAACCTCAAAATCACCCTTCTCCCCCATCAAGTAAAGTGTTACATTTACTGTATGATTTCATTATTAGATATGAATGTAACATTTATTTAGACCGTGCTATCCTTTGTGTTAGGCTAACTACTAAATCTTTTCGATTTCGAGTAATCTGCACCTAACCCTATTTTCTCCATTAGCCCTGTTATTTCTATTACGCGATTTTCTATAACACGATATTTTACAAGAACACAATTATCGCGTTATAGCAGAACTACCTGTAGACTCAATAATTTTAATAAATTTGTTTCTGATTATTTGTGAGTATTTTCCCATTATTATTGTGTATGTGTTGTGTGTGTGTGTGTAGAAACACACACACACACACACACACACACACACACACACACACACACACACACACACATATGCAATACAGGTGAAGGAAATTACT